GCTTCCCCAATTATCACCTCTAATACCATTAGCTCACAAACATCCCACTCTCCCCACCTCTAATATCAATTCACAGACACTTACCTTCCTTCCCCCCGCATCTCCCTCCTGTTCTGAAATGTGATTTGTCCTTTTCATATGTGTTCATTTTTTTTAATTGTATCCTTTGGTATACATGGTTGTGACTATTTTCTTCCACTATTTGATCTGAGGAAGTGGGTCTGGCCCACGAAAGCTCATCATCTAATAAACCATCTTGTTAGTCTTTAAAGTGCTACATTGTCCTGCATTTTGTACAAAGGGTGCGCAAGACCCAAGCGTTAAAGGGACCTGTGACTTGTCCCCTGGTTGCTTGTCCCTCAGAGACTTCTCCTTGCTGGCTTCTGTGAAAGGCACCCAGTCAGGTCTCTCCTCAGCCTCTCCCCACAATCCCTCCAGGACATGTTTAGATTCTCACCTGGCCCCACTGCTACAGCATCCAAACACTGTCACCTTTACTGCAAGTTTTCTCACTCCAGAGCAGGCATCCATGGACGGACTTTTGGCCAGGCCCAGATTTGCCTCAAAGCACTCTGAATGCTGCATTTAAAGTGGTATCATAGCAATTACCAACCAAGCTAGAGGCCTTAGAGAGCCCAGCAGTAAGAGCAATTCAAATGCCTTACAACTGGCTGGCTATAATTGTGGGGAAGAGAGTCAGTCACTCCCGGTACGTGATGATCCAGGGCCCAGAAGACAAAGCAGAGAACTCAAGCTGGTGCTTTTGGGAGCTCACAGCTGCAACATGCATTAGTTCCATTCAACATCCTCCCTTCATTTTCCCCAACATCCTTCCGTTCTGCCATGCCAGAATCAGGTTTAGGAACGCGACAGCTGTAGCATCAGGAAATGTTACAAATGGCCCCATTCTCTTTTACCTCCTCCCTTCCCGGCACTTCAATCAGCTGACACTGTGCCAAGGCGCTTCTCTCTATTCCTTCGGTCCTGTTGGTCTCAAGAAGAGGGTTCAGAGAATCTTGGATTCTCAGCTGTTTGCTTCCCATCTGAGATCTATGAAGCCTGTGATTCAATGCTAATGGCAGGTGTAGGAGTCAGTCATGGGGACCAGTCTTCTGTATTCAAGCAAGTACAGGTTGTCATGCCAGGACACAGCTACACCCCTCCTTCCCGCATTACATCCCCTGGTGGAAGGAGCCAGCTCAGGGGAAGAGGAGAAGGGACCCAAGGGAGGGAAGTCAGCCTCTCCTGCTCAGTTCTTGACTGAAGAGCACTGAAGGCTCTAGTGCCAGTTGTGATGGTGGGTTGTGCTATGGATAAGCAAGTTGCACCTAAACAGCCAGCAGGGGACACCAGCCTGGTCTAGAATTGAACCAGTGACAGGAGCAGAAAGGATCCAGGACACAGGAGTAATCCCTTTTTGGCATTTAAAAAAGTGTTCAAAGAAAGTGGCGAGGTCCTGAGCTTGTGACCACTGCCGTGTATCACAGACACCTTGGTGCTCGCAGATTGCGAGTCTACTCAGCAGCACGTACCCCCTTCCACATGCCACACCCTCCACCCGCAAGGCCAAAACTCATTTGTTTCTAGAAAGCATAAAAAGAACACCAAGCCCCAGTCACTTGCCAGCACCGCTGTCCTTTCCCGGGCGTGCACCTTGGACAGGGTGGCTTAACTCCTCGCAGCTCACCTCTGCTGCACATATTTATTCAGGGCACTGCTTCTACAAGCCCCCCGCAGGCCTCTGCTGCGATGGTCAGGCCATTTAGAGAGGCAGTACAGCCCAGCCACCTCACTGTCTTGGACACCAGAGCAACACCCTTTGTGCAGGCCAGTCATCACAATTAACAGCTACAAACATGGCACAGGACTGTTGAGGGGAAGGGGGTGGTTTCTCATTGCGGACAGAGCTGATGCTGCAGAGGTACTGGTGCGTCTGACTAAAAATGCACTGGCTACAATGTTTGCCTAAACCAAAGCCCGTCTGAATGCTGGCAGCTCTTCCAAGCTTGTACTTATTCCTCCAGACCTTAAAAACAACCAAGGGAAATGGCTACCAGCTGCTTAAAAGCAGTTTCAAGGCTGGAATCTGCATGAGCCACGCAGCATGTGACGTATTCCAGGTATTGCTTTTAGCCTACACCACAGGGTGTATAACTTGTGTTGCCAGCGACCCAGAATGAGCAAGTCAGCTGAGCAGAAGCATGGGCTGAGGCCCTGAACCCAAGCTCAGGCGAAAGGAAGCACTCCCCTGAAGTGAGGAGCAGAGCAATGGCTGAGACCCAAGGCAAATGGCCTTGAGCAGGGCTCCTGTACTCAACATGCCAGATTACAAAAAGGAAGATGAGAAAGGTTTGCTTTGAGGGTAAGGCAATCTGTCAGCCATTCCCACTGGGTGCTGCAGGAATATCCGATTTCCAACACTGCAGATTTGGCGCGCACACACTGTCAATCTCAGGTGCAGCTGAGAATCGCTCAACACAGAATACTGTGTCGCTGCCAGGCCACACGAGTGAAATGTTTTCGGGGCAGGGAGCAATTCTACTACAGGCAAGCAGCCTACACAGGTGGTGCCCCCCCCCAACCTAGCCCAGCTGACAGATTGTCAAGGGTCTCACCCATGAGCAACTTACTGAACTGGAAGTCATGAGGAGATGTAAGTGTCCAGTGCCTTTGAAAAACAGGCCTAGAGCCCCAAGAAACCCCAAACAGACCAAGGAGGCAGGCAAGCAGGCATCGGGCTCCCAATGGTAAAAGCACAGGTGGATCCCCGGGAGCTATAACGGAGCAAACTGAGCTGATCAGTGCAGATCAGTCGGGTGTTTGAAGACAGTTCTCGCACACACAGATGTTGCTTCGTTGAGACCGTAACGGGAATCAGCATCTCTCAAACAATGGACTAAGAAAGCGACACTCAGATGAAGCCACTGAGAACTGTTTCTCTCACCACATGCTCCTTGTAGCAGTTGCACTTAACTACATAGGCATAGAAGCTGAGAGACTGCAGCTGCTGAGGCTTTTGCTGCTGCACACATGAAGTCCAGTGACTGAAGGGCCAGGTGCTAAGCACCTTCAAAGCCTTACAGTAACAGCAGGATCATGCCCTGGCACTACACACTCTGCTGGGAACACCGGGGTTCAGTGAAGAGAGAAAGGAGACTGGCCTGATTTCTCCTAACCCTCTACCTTGACCCTGAAAGATACAGATCATGTTCAGCTTCCAGTGACTTCGACAGTAGCTGAGGGCACTCAGCATGATCAGGCCCGGCACTGTTATGCATACATTCTGCAGTTTGTTTTCCATGGCAGAGAAAAAAGGGGAATAGAAATCACATGCTTCTCCTAATGGTCAGTACTTCACCCCACATAGGGAAGTGCAGCTAAAATGACCAACTCATAAACCCTTATGTCATCACTAAATCAGCTGGAACATGCTCCTCGAAACCTTTAGCAACATTTTTCTGCATGACCCAAGTTGCAAGACAGCAGTTCACAAATCTCTCGTCAATACATGCAGCTGACTTCATGACCTCCCAGCGCTTTAGCCTTGGACTCAATTCTGTACCAGGAAGGTTGTTTTTCACACTAGGCTTTTACATTTCTGAAAAGCACAATCAGCCAAAAGATTAACAGGAAATAGAGCCACAATTCAGGGCTCTGACTGGCAACAGACACGGTGGGGCTAAGGTGCATGGCTCAGACCCAGATCTGAAGTTCTGAGTGGGAGTGTTTGGACTGTACTGTCCCAACTTACAAGCTTGCACCCAATGCTGTCTATCCCCTACACAGAGGCAGAGATGCTGCTGTCTCAATTGCAAGGTCCATTTTTTTGCCCCAAGGTATCAGGGGAAAAAATTTCACAAAGATCGATGGAATTGTGACGTAGTGGGGGGTAACCTGCTAACTCTCTGGCTGCTATCTGTAGCACCACCGAGCAGACAAGAGGGTATCCCAACTGGTTTGGCCAGCTGACCCCCATGGAGAGGAACAAAGGGAGGTGGAATGCTGCCCTGGCTGGGGGGCAGGGCTGGAGGAGAGTGGGTTAGTTCCTGGCTGGAAAGCAGGGGAGAAGGAACTGGGGAGGGGGCTGGGATTCCCCTATCTCAAGGGGGGCACTGAGGCCTCTTAGCCCCCAGTTCCTGTAACCAGATTACATCTGTGCGATGCTGTATCCTGGAGGAGCAATAAACCACCCTCAGTTCTACTGGCTGGTGGAGTCTGTTTGTGCCATTTCGGGGTGCAGGAGACAGGGGACCCCCAACGCGCCGTCACAGGAATTGACATGAGACCTAGAAGTAACATCCAGCCTTTCTCAGTCCCCAGTAGGTCACAGGAATTTTGCTTTTTACAATGAAGGTTAAAGCAACTAGGTTTGAAATCTACTTTAAAAAACTGATGCACGTCTCTGAAACCACTCGAAATTTACTACCCACAGTAAATATTTCAAGTAAGTTAACTTATAAAATATTGACACCCAGAGAGGTTATTTTTGTGACCCTTTTACTGACTCTGCTAGGAGAAATTCTCGTGTTTTTGAGACAGCGAGGCTCAGAGAGAGCAGTATGTCCCTACTTTCCCATCTGTGCCTGGGTACCCCTCTGGACAGCTTCTGTAGCACCTGGGCTCTTGGCACGCTCTCAGATCCCCAGAGGGGTCAGTTCATCAAAAAGGACATTAAGAACCAACCCAAGTCTGCGTCAGAAATAAAGAAAGTGAAGGGGGGAATAGGAGGGGGAGAGAAGGGAAGCAAAGGCTGAGCTGGCGCAGAAGAAAACATCCTGGCAGTCACTGCTAGGTCTGTGTGGAGCACTATCAATCAGGCAGCCAGCAACACAAACAATGACTCACCCTCAGCTGGGAGAACCGTGGTGGCTTCTGGGGCGGCTCCTCGTATGGTCTGTCTGCCAAGGAGGCTATGATTCGCTTCCGATGGCCCAGCAGATTCACCTTCAGCACCTGCAAGCAAGAGGCAAAGTTAGCTCAGATCTCAGAGGCGGGCCGATGGCAATATCCCCCGAGCGTGTCCTGTGGGGCTGCATCTTCCAGGCGAACTAATAGCTGCCAGTTTTTGACTGCCAATGGGATTGTCCCATTGCTGGGCATCCCTCCCCACACTGATACTGTTCAGCATCTCTGCTGCTCAGCCTGGTGTCATTTCCTCTCAGATTCATCCCAAAAAGGAGGCGAATTTGCTAGTGCAGGAAATACACTTGCTCCCAATTCAGCACGTACACAGCGTCACTGTGCGAACAGGACCCAATCCATCTGTTCCCACCACCGCTTTGTGAGATTGGGAGCAGCCAGGGAAACCAAGGACCACAGGGGTTAAGGTAGTGGGTCACCAACCAGTAGATCAGGATCTACTGGTAGATCATGGAACCTCTGACAGGTTTGGCTGGGAGGCTGTCAAGTGCTGGCACTTCAGCTGCCCCTCTCAGCTCTGCCATGCTGCTCCTGCCCTCTGTGCCCCTACCTCCAGGAGCCTCCTACTTGCTGTACAGGGCACAGGAAGAAGAGGAAGGGATGCTGATGTCAGGGTGCCCCTCTCCTCACCCTGTACTCCATCTTCACAGGGCAGATAGTTTGCTGGCTGCTTTTGGGAGTGGTGGAGGGCAAGCCTGCCTTAGCTCCCTGCACCCCTCCTCCCCCGGAAGCCACCTGTGGTAAGCGGTGCCCAGCTGGAACCTGCATTCTGAATGCCAGTCCCAGTCCTGAACCCCTCCTGCACCCCAACCCCTGCTCTAGCCCTGAGTCCCCCTGCACCCAAACTCCCTGCCCCAGGGTCAGCTCAGAACCCCTCCCTCACTCCACATCCTTTATCCCAAGATCAGTGAGTGCATCCCCCTCCCCCACACCCCAGCCCAATAAATGTGAGTAAGGATGGATAGAAGAGGGAGGGAGGGAAGATGGAGTGAGCAGGGGCCAGGCCACAGAGAAGGGGCAGGGAGGAGGCGGGGCAAGGGTGTTTGGATTGGAGGTGGATCCTGAATTGCACTTAAATTCAAAAAGCTATCTCATGCTTCAAAAGGTTGGAGACCCCTGGGTGAAGTGATGCATCCAAAGTCACACACAAGTTAGCATCACAGCTGAGAGAGTAGGGCTGTTGCTAGTGTTCAATCCCAATCTTAAACCACTAGATGAGGCTACCCAGTACCCCAACCATATACAAATAACTACAGTTATCTTTTGCAGGGTGAAAACCTTAAACCTGCAGCAGACAGGTTACATTTTAATCAGACAAACGGGCTGTTTTATTTCATCTCAGGACTCTTGAAGAATCAGCCGCATGAAATGCGGAGAGAAAGAAATCGGAGCAGACCCCATTACAATTGGTATCCTCTCATCCCAGCAAAGACCAGATCTGCACACGTACAGGCTCTCCCTGAGTCAGGACCCAGTCAAACACTTTTCTAATCCCCAAGCATGACACCGTGCATCTCAGCGAAGGTAACTTCTGTTGTTCCAGGGCCCCTTCACTGCTGCATTGTCACTGCTGCTTGTTTCCCTTTCACGGACACCAACTCTGCCTCCCAGTGGAATCAGGCTGTTCTAAGCCCCAGGCCTACGAGCTGCTGGGAGCCATGGGTCTGTCTTTTATACCATGCTCACAAGAGTGGTCCTGCTGCCTCAGAGTGAACTCTCCAAACAGCAACAGTGCCTGGGCACAGAATCATCCTACACTGGTGTTGATTCTCCTCACACCTTTGCATGTGACAGGTACTACAGCTTTGCTGCACTGGGCTTAACAAATCTCTCTGCAAGTCGCACCTGCTTGGAGGGAAAGCCAGTACGTACATTTACTATTTCAAGCTCCCAGAGGTTTTTCACAGTGTCAATGGAGCTGTAGCCACTCGACAGGAAGGACTGAATATAGTCCTGCAGCCCCAAAGAGTCAAGCCAAGCAGAAACCGAAGGCTGGCTGTTCCCGTCGCAACCTAGAGATTTCACCTAAAAATGTGAAAGACAAGAAAGGGTTAAAAAGGCTCCAGGGAGCCCCCAAAGCTTGGATTCCAAAACCTACAGTGGCTGCAGTTAAAGCCCCATGTAATTACAAACCTATACCAGGGATTTGTATAGCGACTTCCACATGAGGATCTCAAAGAACCAAGCAGACCTCAGCCCCGGGCCAGGAATGTGTTATCCCGTCCACAGGTGAACAAGCGAGGAACTGAGGTTCACCAGCAAGTCCAAGGTTGCATAGTGAGAAAACTGGGAAAGATTCCAGGAATTTCCCATGCTGTGCTCACTGGAGAGCATCCCCTCCCTTCCGCTTTGACCCTTTAAAGCCCAGAGCCACATAGCAGCTTGGGAACAAGTTCATATTCCTGTTGTGTCTTCAGAACACAGCAAAGCTTGAACTCCAGTCAGTTGTACCTTTGGGTAGAGGTGTTTTCCCCCCAACAGCACTGGTGAGAGCACAGCGCTGCTGTCCCACCCTGGGCTCTAGCCTGAGAAGCAGGCTCTGTGATTCAGGAGTAACTGTGTCATATGCAAGCAGCTGGGTTCAGCTGGGGGAGGGAGAGTACAATCCAACACATCTGCGCACTGGGAGAAGGCTGCCAGAAAAGGGAGACTGAGGGGACTGTTCGCAATACCAAAGGCTGGGAGGAAAATCTTCTCTTGGTCAATGTAATGCTCACAGAAGTCACTGTATTAAATAGCCTAGGAGAAGGAGTCCCTCAATTATCAGGTGATAGACAAGCAGGCTCTCTCCCCAGCATCCCCATCAAAAAACCTTCTTCCTGAGCTGGAGGGACACTGCAGACCTGAGGGCCATCTCCATAGCTTGGGCAGGCCTCAGCATTACTGTTGTAAGCATAATAAAGGCTGGTGGTTCGCACCAGAAGTGCTGGTGGTTTTTATGGTGGGGCAACTGCCCACTAGCAACTAGACAGACCCCTCACTTCTGGCAGGGAAACGCTGTCACTGCTGTGAAGGAATTAGGCTGGTGATCCAACAACACCTGGGCTAGCTCCAGGGTCAGGACCATACCCTGCTCCCAAGTGACTGCAGCAGGGAACAGCCTAGCTAGTGGAAGAGGCAGCCATGTTCTCATCTATTTATAAAGGCTGCCCACATCCAGTCCATCTCGGTCTCCAGCAGCTGACAGAGTCTGTCTGCCCCTTGTGAGCAAAGAGCAGGTTGGAGGAGACTGCTGAATTCTCCCTTCAACTCCTGGGCATACTCTCCTCTAACAAATGGTACTGGCGAGTCGCTCCATTTAACACATTCCATTTATTTCCTTCATGCACTAGTGGTAGGCATCCTGCTGCCCACAGACTTGATGCTGCCCTGTTCCAAGTGCCTGAAATCGCCCTCATTACATGCCGCTGGCACAGATAAGGCAGCGACCAATTTCACACTGCCGCCCCTGGCACAGACCTGAGACATCGGGGCAAAGGAAGACTGCCTTGTTTGAGCACTGGAGCTCGGTTAGCCTATCGGTGCGAATTCAAGCTGGGTCGCAGGACCTTTGGCTTAACTAGAAGTATTGACATGAGGTTATATCGGGCACTGGCTGAATGTGACAGAGAAGAGTGGCAGGCAAACCAAGGGGAGCGGTTACCCTTCTTCGGTTTCTCTGGCCAAAACAAATATCACAGCAATTAGACTTCACTGCAGTGGAAGAGTGCTGGTAGAGTCAAATGCGGAGCGAAGTTCATCACGCTCTTGCCTATGACTGCAGTCTGGGGCTCTGGCTGTAAGGGGCAGCACCCCAAAACCAGGATGCTCAGAAATCCATCTGTAGAATATCAGCGACCATGCTAGTACTTCCTGCCAGGGCTGATGCCTTGTACATCCCTAGCATTAGGGGACTCAATGCTTGAGTCTTTAATGCAAGCTCTTCACAAGCCTTGTCCCCGCTCCATTCGAGGACACAGGCACAGCAGAGCTCTCAGCAGAGAAGAGGGGAACGCCCCGAGGTGCCTGCATAACCTTAGGATTCTGAGTGTGGTTGCAAGGAGCCAACATGCAGCCGTGTAAGCCACACACTCCTGGTGGGTCCTTACAGTTCAGATGCACCAATACATGCGCAGTCAGCTCAGCAGAACAAACTGCCTCTGCTTCTCCTCAGACCTAAAGCCACGTACAGTCCCCCGCAAGCCATTCCCATCTCCGGTGCAGGATGCTCTGCTGAGGCAGTCTTAAAGCCCTCTTCTCAATGGCCATCTCCCAGGGAGCAGACCTCCAAATAGGGACTGTCTCTAAAGAGGCCTGGCCGGGGCTACATTCTTGGTTTCAAGCACCGTGGCCCTTGTCACCAAGCAACTCTCACCCCGTATGGCTGACTCCACCACCCCATTCTCCCCTCCCGTGCGGCCGCAAGTAATGCAACAACTGTCACCTTGGGCAGGGGGCGTGCGGCCTGGAGGAGTTTCCTGCGGTGCTGCGGGTCACTAATCCCGATCTCCCGAAGGTCCTGATCTTCCATTACGTTACAGCCCTGTGGAAACAGAGGAGACACGTTGGAGCAGAGTGCAGCGGCAGGACCAGTTGCTGGAGTAGGAGCTATGTATATTCCAACCGCCTTCCCCCATGCCACACACGCGTCCCGTTCTGCTTCCAGAGGAGCAAGGGGAGGCCACTCTGCAGAGCCCCTGCTTCCCCTCTGCACCAGGGAAAAGGCATGGCAGGAATGGCTGCACCAGGGGGCAGAGCAATGAAACGCTGGACTGAACAGGCTTTACTGCCAGCTCTTGCAGCCCTGACATTACCCTCTGTGGCAGAGGTCGGCACCTGCAGGCACCTGTGCCATAAGTGACATGCAATATGACTGTCAGTGGCACAGGCAATGAAAGCAGGGAGGGGCAGAGAGAAAGCCCCGAACCTCCCCACCAGCTCTGGCATGCTGGGAACACTAGTCCCTCCGGCTCGGTGTGTTGCCATTTCCCTTCCCCCGGCTGGGACAGGCCCCTGCTAGAGGAGCAGCGGCCTCCCTACCATCCACCCTCCCAGAAAACGTAGGTGCCAAGATGGCTTCCAGTGGCATGCGGTTTCCGGAGTTTGGAGCATTTTTCGAGTCCTGGCGAGCTCCTGCCACCCACTGCGGCTGCCCCACCCCTGCACGCCATGTGGCCTTCTCCCTCCCCA